CAATAGCCCGTTAGTCCAACTCTCTCCTTCCAATCCACCATCTCCTTGTGCTTCTTCATCAGGTAAGCATTCTGACACAGATACGATACACTGGAAGATGGCTAATAATCTTTCCAAGGGAAACGTTCCTGGTCCCTTCAAGAGCAATTCTTGTTCTGCAATTTCCTTCTTCTCTTTTGACTTCTCTGAGCTCCTAAAAGCAGAGATCATATCTTTAGGCGTACAAGGGAAAATGAAGTAAGATAATCAAAGACAACTAAAATATGATTTGCATCAGAAAAATGTGAAACACTGAAACTTTAAAAGGGATTAAGATCATCAAATACCAGGAAGGTAAAATAACAGTTTCATACAAATTCTTAAGAGATATAAGTTGATGCATAAGAAGTAGCAACAGTTCAAATGCCAATAAGGATTCACCAGCAAACCTAATCATCAGACAACATCACCACTTCTTCAAAACTTAAATTTCCTTAGGGAAGTCTCATGAATGAGCCAGGACTTCAAAGCTTCATAACAATTACCAGAATGTTTCCTACTAATTGCTTCGATGATAAATAAGATAATAAGGAAGCAAATGCTCATTTTTACATCTGGCTATTTCAGTGATTCCTATGTCGTCAAGTACTCCAATTTATCACCCCTGATTATTTCGGTAATACATATGTCAAGTATTGCAATTTATCATGCAACAAAGATGTACTATATTTGTTCTCTGCTGAATTTAAGAAAGAAGTTATGACCAAAGCACTCATGTAAATGCGAAGAAAACAATCAATACAAGCAGTTTATCTAGCAAAAGAAGGAAACTAGAATTGACAGCAACATAAGAAAAACAGAATCCGGAATTACTAACTACCTCTTTCGTTTTTTGTTATTGGAACCTCCAGTTGAGTCAAACATGGATGCGTCAAGGGTAGCTGGATTTCTTGAAGCAAGGAAAGCACAAATAAGAAGATATTTGGCACATGCAGACATGTGAAAGTCTATCTCATTGGAAGATTCACTAACTCCAACTTTCTTGGCAATGCCTTTCCATTTGTTCGTGTTAGATGAGGCTTCAGAAGACAGCCTGCTTTCAACTTTGAACGTTTCGTTCAGGGATGGTCCAATATGTGGTTGAAGATGAGAAAAAAGTTTTCTTTTCATATCTTCATTTGGAACAATGCCTAAATCATCAAGAGGTTCACAATATATCTGATATAATGATGAGAATGCAGTCAATAATTCATCAACTCGCCGAGTAACTCGACAAAATGGCCTCAACACCACTCTGTATTAAAATAAAAAAGACTGTGTATAGGTTAAATTTTTAATAAAGCCACCAAAGTGATAAAATCAAATTGAAAATTCACACTTACCCAAGAAATGAGGAATATAGCTTTGGGTTTTTCTGGTTTTTCATTAAGATTTGACGAAGCTCATCCTCGGTGTAATCAGGAAAGTAAACAGGAACGGGTTCTACATAACCAGTGTCCGAGTAATAAGTGTCAGGTGAGGCATTACTGAGAAAAATCAAACCCACTTCTGGCATTTTCAGAATATCATAGAGCTTAAAGAGAAAAGGCAATATGTTGGAACTCTTATCCCATTCACGAGCAAGCTCCAAGTTATCAAATACCAAGTAAACCATTTTTCCCCTAGCCCTTCCCACCGACTTCTTCGAGCTTGATTTCTCCACATTCCCCTTCAAACTATCTACCACATTATGAAGAGCCTCCTGCAAAAGATTTACAAAATCGGAGGGCCTTTCACAGCGTTTCGTACTGGAATAACGATTGCTTTCATTTCTTCTATGAAGCAATAACTGGTTCAACACAGATTCAAATAGTATCCTTGGGTTATAGCACGTTATACAACTGCAGTAAACAAATGGACGTTTTAGGTGCTTAAATGTCTGAAGAATCGAACTTGTTTTCCCAGTCGAAGCACCTCCATATACAAACACAGGAAACATTGGAGAATCCAAAGGGCCCAAAAGGTGTAATAATTCAATAATTTGTGCACGTCTACCAGGTAAACTAGAAATCAAATCATTGAAACTAATTGATTCATCTCCATAAGCGAGATCATGTATTGTGAAAGGCAACAAATTACATGATTTTAACTTCCCTGTAGAACTTTTTGGATTCGGTGTGCTAGACAATGATGCTCTAGTGGTTCTTCTAGGAGTTTGTGGATTTCCTTCATCACCCATTTCTTCTTATGTGCCAAAATCCTGGAAATAGCAGTATAAACATTCATTACAGGGGAACGAAAGAACCCTAACGGTATCTATAGTTACATCCGAACTTCTATGCAGACACTTCAGGAACTGAACACAACTTAATTGCATAAAAATTCACACAAAAAAACTGAAAGAGAAGAGAGAGATGAGGACGCACCTTGCGGTACAGTTTGCTGGTCGTCGGAGAAACGAAATCTGCCGGAAATTTTGCGGTGGCCGGTGAAGGAAGAAACGGAGTTGAAAAGAGTCTTTAATCAATTCAACCCTAGGTATATGACAGCTAATTTTCCCGCCAATCTGAAAGATGCGAGTTGTGACTACACTCTTTAAAAAATAATTTTATTAATTATATTTTGAAAAATTAATATTTTATATAATTATTTAATGAAAAGAAAATAATAAATTTCTCTGAATTTATGCAAGTGAAGGAAATAAATTTACTATTTTGTTAATATTTCCTAAACAAAAGTTAATTTTAAATTAATACTTTAAATTTAATCCTCAAATACTATCGAACCCCTACAAAAATTGTTGGAAACATATTGATGATCTCTTAGAGCTAGTTTACATCAAGGTATAAATATGTTATTTACCGTATAATTGTTGATCTCTTAGAGCTAGTGTATATAATGATATGAGTATGTTAGTGACTAAAGGAAGAAGTAGATAGACAGTTATTATATGACAAAAACAGCAAAATAGACATTGAGGCTTAATACATCAACGGACTTAAATTTATAGTAAATTTCATTTAGATATTCAAAATATGGCTTATTTCAATTGAGCACTAAAATAAATGATAAAATGTACATATGTACTCATAAATAGTGACCTACAACCAAGGTTTTTAACCATATCATATATTATTATAAGTGGGAATCCTTCAAGTGCAAAGTTGGATTACCATTTTACCCCTATATTAAATCAAAATGTTATAAAATATTAAATATTATGTTAAATTTGTTAGTGACTTTTGAAGTCCAAATCAAATGTTTTGAAAATTTATTTTGATTCAACATTAAGTACAGTATACAAGGTATCCTTTGAATTCAACATTAAGTACAATATACGAGGCATCCTTTGAAGATGTGACTATTAATATTATCTTTAAATTAACTCCTAAAAATATACGTAGTATCAATTAGTAGTCCCATTTACATCACAACAGAAAAACTGATATTGGAGGTATGAAGAGGCAGAAGTTACATATGGGAATAAAGTTAGAGCTCGTTTGGATTGGCTTAAAAAAGTAGCTTTTAAATCAAAAATAAAAAATCAAATTGAAATGACTTTTAAGTCAAAAATAAAAAGTAAGGGGAGACCTACTTTTGGTTTCTGACTTATTTTAAGTCATTTTTTACCTTGCCAAACACTTCGTGACTTATTTTAAGTCATTTTTGACTTATTTTAAGTTATTTTTTATATTTATCAAACTCTTCCAGAAGTCAAAAACTAACTTAAAAGTAGGTTTGACCGACTTTTAAGTCAATCCAAACGGGCTCGAAGTGGAAAGGCCAAGGGTTGTTTGGATCAATTTTGTGGCTTTATAGTCTTCTATTGTGGAAAAACTCAATTCATTTTGATTAGGTTTCAATAACATTTCAAGATTTTCACTTTGTTATTTTAGATTTTGTTGCACTTGATTATTTGATGTGTTCCAAAGTCAAACGAAAACTATGACATCTGGAACATAACTAGCTCCTCCATTATATATGAAATTTATCGAGTACTGGTACGTTTTTCTTCATTATAATTTAATTTTTTTCATCTAGATAAGTTAAGGAGTATTTATTTTACTTCATTTTTGTCTTTTTTTTGGTATTATTATGTGGGTATTGAAGGAGGCATTAGTTGTTTGGTGAAAGTGAAGTTGGATTACCATTTTACCCCTATATTAAATCAAAATGTTATAAAATATTAAATTAGTACAATAATAGGAGTGAAAATCTCTCACATAATAGGTAGATATTAGTAATTGTTTTGTCAAAAGGAAAGATAGGAGATTAGTACGAAATTTATGCACCCATCTGCTACTACTACTCATGTATTAGTAAGGGAAAAAAGACAAATATATCTTGAACTATCGTAAATGGTATGCTGATACCCTCAGTCATATTTTTGGGATATTAATGCCCCTGCCATCCAAAAACTAGAGCATATATGCTCTTCACTCTAATGGAAGACTAAATAGGGACACGTGGCGCAATCTTATCCGTCAATCCAATATTAAATAAAGGGAAAAAAGACAAATATACCCCTGAACTATCGTAAATGGTATGCAAATACCCTCCGTCATACTTTTGGGACATTGGTGCCCCTACCGTCCAAAAACTAATGCATATACCCTTTATACTAATGGACATACACGTGTTATAATCTTATCTATCGATTAGATACTTATCGATAGATAAGATTGCGCCACGTGTCCCTATTTAGTCTTCCGTTAGAGTGAAGGGCATATATGCTCTAATTTTTGAACGACATGGGCATCAATGTCCCAAAAGTATGACGGAAGATATCTGCATACCATTTACGATAGTTCATGGATATATTCGTCCTTTTTCCCTTAAATAAATGTCAATTAGTGAATAAGATTATGACACGTGTATATCGATTAGTATGAAGGGTATATATGCTCTAATTTTTGGACGATAAGGGCACCAATGTTCCAAAAGTATGACGGAGGGTATCTACATACCATTTACGATAGTTCGGAGGTATATTTGTCCTTTTTCCCTACTAATAAATAAAGGCTATAATTGTAAGCAGAAGGTAATCCAAAAAACTGTATGTAAAATCCAGCAATCCATCTGACACCAGATATGTACAAGACTGACGAGCTCCACACCTGCTGAAAATTAGATTATGAAAATAATATACTACATTTTTTTCCAGAAATCCCATGAGAAAAATCAGATAGCAGACAACTTAAACCTTTTGTGAACAATTGTATAAGATGTAAAGTTTCCAGATGCTATTTTTCAGAACGTAGCTAGACTCTAGTGCAAAGTGCGAGAATCAACATCAAACAGGGCTGGCTGCTGCAACCTCCCAAACTTAACCCAACAATCAAGACACCCTGGTGCGTGCTTATACAACCCCGGCATAAGAACGTAAGATATTCGCATCATGCCCTGTCAAAAGCAAGTAAATCAGGTACATTGAAAAAGCAAAGCTAGCATATCAAGTAAACAAAACTTTGGCTCACTCACTCATTTTCGTCGTCATCATCCTAAAGTTGAGCTGGTCCACTCCCTCTGATAAACGTACCACGGCGATCACCCCCAACAATCACATCTTTCAATCGAGATAGTGGACCAAACATCCTGCTAATCCTCTGTCAACATTGAAATACAGATCAGTGAACCAATTAATGCAACTAAACAGAGTAAAATTACGAGTCCAAATGGCATTTCTGAGAACCAAGATGTTTGAACTGACAACAAGAAACACAAGCGGAACTAACAACATATATAAGGATGACTTCCAGGGTGTAATGTTCTTCTATACCACACTAAGTGAAAGGTTAATCCCGGTTTTGATCACTTAACTGTTTGTGTGATTGAAGTCTCCAGTACCATCTTATTATAAAAGCTATTGACTAGACCAACAGGAAGCAACACAGGCTTTTAACTTCCCAGAACCAACAATGGAGATCTTGAAGAAAACATGCAATCTACAGCAAGTGTTAAGTGGCAAACTCCTTTGCACTTCAACACAGAATCAGACATGGGGCAAGGGCTGAAGATTAATAATGAGGAGGTCAAAAGACCTGCAGATTCAGCTATTCAGGTTCACTTATTTTAACACCCATGAATTTCCAGACTCAACTAAGAACCATATTCAGAAACAATAATACTGCGAGCTAGTCTAAGGCCAATGAACTAATAACAACAATAGTGAAATCCCACAAGTGGGGTCTGGGGAGAGACAATGAAATAATAACCCTCCTAAAGTCATTTTGGTATTTTTGTATAGGGCAGCGGAGTTGGTGAAACGACTTTTATAAGGTAAGGTAAATTCCGTTGAATATGTACCAACAGCATACAAACTACAGCAAAGCTGTATCAAATTATAATCTCATAACTAGTTAACTACTATAAATTCCTCGAACTGTCGCTAATTTTCTATCATATTACCCCTATACCAGAAATGTAGATTTTGAGGCGCCTATTGTTTACAATATCTAAATGATTCTCAAAACATCTCTCATTTCTTTTCCAACCAAATGGTCCAAAAGATGCAAAGGGGTATGGTTTACTAGAATCCAGATTATCTTCAGTTTTTTCCCAACTTTCTGATTCTGCCAGCAAACCAAAACATGAGCAAAAAGGAATTCTGAAAGCAAGTTATGTCTACAGATTGAGGCATTAACTGTAATTGGAGATTGTGAATGACCTTGAAGATTTAATTGTCGGATTGGAATGATATGGCATTGTTCAAAATCATACAAGGGTCTCTCATTTTCCCCAAATAAAACAGGGCACTTATTTTCTTCCCTAATTCTCTATATATACAGGTATAAGAATTGTAAACCATCTAAAGATAGGCAGACCATAGGTGTAACTAGAGGCTATGCAGTACAAGTATATTCCATCCTCTTCTGAGGCAGATGGATAGTGGAGTCCACTTATTCCTGAGAGAGATAAACTACTTAATCAGAAATAGATGATGATGAATAAATGCAGATCACAAGGGTCTACAGCACCGAAGAGAATCCGAGAAAAAAGAATTCTTGCATACAGATCCAAGGACAATCACATAACAGTAACATACTACTAACATATCCCCCCAAAACAACGGGAAGGAAATCAACTCAACTGTAGGATCTGCAAAGTAGTTCATGTATTTATTTTAAGGGAAAGATTGTACTCTTCCAGAGTTCGACAACAAAAATTTTATATACTAGATTCACCACAAGAAAGACATTAGCAACCGCACTTTCGCCAAAAGTAGGTCATGAAAGAATATAATGAGATGCCCTTGTGAAAAGGAGCTTGCGCAAGTATACGTCAAGATATGGTACAGGCCTCAGTGTGCATTCAAAAGTCATTTTCATGAAAACAACTTTAGTAATGGTGCAAAACTGATGAGCTATCAAGGACCTCAGGTGACCAATGAAATGAAAACAAAAAGAGGAGAGAAGAGTGAATACTTGGGTATGGAGGAGGGAGGAAATCTAGTGAGGTACTTGATAATGTTGACAAAGAAAATGGGTTGCAGCAAAGCTGAAGACATTTTTATCAGCTGGATCTTATTTAAATACACCTATTCAAGGTCAATCTTGTGTTTCTTCTTTTAGTTATCTCAATCAGAATATCCTGTTTGCTAGTTAACTCCCTGGATTTTCTAATTGTCAGCCAATTGGCAAGTATTGCATCAACAAAAAATGCAGAAAAGACCACCTAGAGCGACTTTGTAATACTTTAACTGGTAGATCAAGTATTACAAAGTGACTCTAGCTAGTTTTTTCCACATTTTCCTTTCTTAAAAAAGAAAAACTCATTTGCAGATGGACACAAAGTTGAACTATTCAACTCAATGGGGATACCATTTTCAATTATTTTTTAACAAACAGCAACAACTCACCTCACTATGGACTCCAGCCTGCCACTTCATTTGCAATACTTGCCACCTTTCTTGCTGCCACTTCTGACCAATAATCACAAGGCCCATAACAGCAGCAGCAATGAAAATAGACCATAATGCATTTGTGTCTTTCGCATGGGCAACTAGGGAAGCAGCCCGTCTTTTCCACCATGCTTGACAAGGAAGGTTAGCGGCATCATAATCATCTTCATCTTTTGTCTGTGGCAAATTCGAACTGCCCGATTCTAAGCCCTGGTGAGAGGGTTCAACTGATTCTTCAAGAACGTTGGTTTCCTCTGTTGTTGTGGAGAAACCCATGGGTTCTTCACTCTGGTATGAACTATAGTTAGCAGCACCAAAGATACTCTGCTCTTTGTCTACCAAACTAAAGCGTTGCACGGCTGCATCTTCTTCAAATTCTGCACCAATAGATAACTGGTTACCCTTTTCATCAAAAAATTGAATACCAGGAAATTCTGGTGTGCTCGATCCTTTAGTTTCTGTACTTCCTTCATAAAAATCTGATTTACCCTCTTCATTAGCAACAAGTTCTGGAGTAGCATCTTCACCTTCCTGTTCAGTATTGATCTCATTTACATCAGGTTCCAATGGCAAATTCTCATGTTGGCTTGGTGGAAAGACAAAGTGTCCAGACATAAACATTGCCTGGGAAGTTTCAGCTACATAATCTGTGCTACTGCCATTATCATCATTCGAGTCAACCTGCTTTGGACCAGGGGCAGCAGCATATGCTGATTGTGTGAGTGATACAACTTCCCACTCATTTCCACGAGGAGCAGTTTCTTCACCTTCCTCATTACTTGCCATCTTTTAGAAATTGAAACTGAAGAGATTTAAAAAGAGAAAACACAGGAAATCAGAGGTCAAGTGCTTAAAGGGCATCATGCCTTCTGAATAACAAAATGTCAAATTTATTCCGAAGAAAATCAGTAAGAAATTATGAGGACGCATATGATAAGTTTATTGAACTCTAATACATTTCTGCAAACTTCTGGTACCAAAAATGCACGAAATTAGCAAGTATGACATCAAGTAATTCTTTATAGAATCGTCGAACTTAGAAGTCTTATAACATGCTACTTGCGACATTGAGGACATAAAACCACAAGATTTCAAGGCAATTACACATGGAAGTTGCTTAATACCTCTGAAGTCACATTTGTTCCAATGGAACCATCTCTTGTACTTTTCAAAACATGCAAACTGCTAACATAATCAGGAGAAACTTGAAGAAAACTTATGGTGCCTCTCTCTGTGTGTGTTTGTCTTATTTTTGTTAACTTTGAACTTTGAATTCATTCGGCCGTTTACAATTTTTCACTACCAAATTCGTCTGCCAATATTTTTCAATCTACGGATCAGTTACTTTTGAACAACACTATTCCAAACCCTAAAAAGTTCCAATTTCGAGTATAATCAATGTAATTTACACAACAGAGATAAAATCATTAATAGGAGAAACAGCAACATGTACAGAATTGTATAGACAGAGAAGAAGTTACGTAATAAACAAGCATTCAGCAGAAGTACATAACACAGATCCGAAGACCGAATCCACTGCACTAATTAATTTACCGAACAAAGCTAAATCAGATTAACAGATTGAACTCAAAACAATCCAACAGTCAAATACTACGATCAACAAATCAGTGGAGATAAAATCGCTAAACTAAAAACTAAAACCGGAGCAGAATTTCCGAATACTTACAAAACCGATAAGCGGTGAGAGATACGTGATCGGTAAAGATAACGTCGGAGCTCCGGCGAGAATGATTGGAAACTGGGTCGAAAAATGAGCGGAGAGAGAGAATGGTTTATATATAGTAGTTAAGATCTTTTTGGTGAATGAGATAAAGACAACCGGCAAAACCGGTAAAGCTGCAGTGTAAATGACTTGCTCATGAAGTGAGGATAGCGGTTTTACTCTTTACCAAAACGGCGTCGCTGGGTCAAATTCTGTGGGCCCGGTTCAAGTATTTCCGGTTTTTAGCGGTTTGCTTGTACGAGTGGAGAAGTGGTTGACGTGCGCTTTTGCCTTTTATTAAATGAAATTTTCGTTGATATTATTCACATTTGTCCACATAAATTAACCTACGTAATTTTTAAATTTTTCATGTGATTCATGAATTAGATGTGTCAATTTTATACGAATAATAACGAAATTTCAGAAAAATTGTTTGTTATGATGATAAATATAGACAAATATGTTATGATTGAGTTATAGATACTGGAAAATTATTTTTTTGACAAAAGGAGAATTTTATATATAGTTAGTACTTATCACTATATTATTGTTAAGACCATCTCCAATCTCACTCTATTTTACTCTCTATTCTTTATATTTTGAGAGTAAAATAGAGAATGAGCTCTCCAACCACCCTCTATTTCACTCTTTATTCTCCATATATAGAGAGTTGAATATTAATTCTCCAAATTTGGCTAACTACTATTCACACTCTTTATTTCACTTTTTAATTATTTTATCATTATTTCTATTATTTTGTAATTAACATATTATTTTTCATAAAAGGCTATGAATTAAATCTCTAATATTTGTAATTCCTTTTAAATGTAATATAATATTTTTAAAAATATATATTATTTAATATTTACTACTTTCATTCCGAATTAATAATATTTCATCTTTTAATTATTTTTTTTTGTCAATTTAATATAATTTGATTTTATTATTAATTTTCACTATAAAGAATGCACAATTTTAAATGGTCTTACAATTGTTCAAACTATTCGTAATCCACGTTCTCAAAAGAAGAAATATTACACGATGAAACAAGAATCGAGCCGAAAAGATGTTGAACGTACATTCGGAGGTTTGCAATCACGTTTTGCAATTATTGTAGGACAATCACGTTTTTGAAGAAAGGAAGTGTTGCATGATATAATGACTACATGTATTATATTGCACAACATGATAATCGAGGATGGATGTAACCTTAATGCACCGATTCAAGATGTTGTAGAGGCTCCAATTGCAACGACAAAAATGGTGGTAGATGAAAATCTTCCATTGAACAATTTTCAGGTAGACATAAAAAAAATTACGGACAAAATGCTCATTTTGAACTCCATAATGTGTTAATAGAGCAACGTAATAATGTTGAAAGTTGGTATTTATGTAATGCTTATATAATTATTTTTCATTAATGATTTCACTTTTATTTGAATTGTTCATTAATTTGTATATTATATAATATTTGCTTCCAATTTATGTTATTTAGAAATTTAGAATAAAATAAAATTTTATATTGAAAAAATAAAATTTTATATCACATGAAAATTATATAAAAGTGATTATTTCGAAAAAAAGAAAGAAGAAATTTATATTATGAAATAAGAAAATAAGAATGAAATAGAAATAATAATAATATAATATTGAGGAGAGAGAAAAATATTCTCTTTTGAAAAGTAAAATAGAGAATTGGATTGAAGTTGATTGTCTGAAAAAATAGAAAACTCTATATTTAGAGAGTGAAATAGAGAACAGGATTGGAGATCCCTTTATCACTAACAATTACAGATAAATTATATGTAGACCTTACTACTGTTTTACCTAGTTAAATCTCTATGTACTTTTACAATAATGTAATGAGAGCCAAATTTCAATAGAAGAAAAAAAAATACTGGCAGAATATAATATGGGATATCAATCATCATTCTTACAAACCAATAACAGGAGTGGAGGAGATGTTAGACACGACGCACATAATGTCTATAATTGTTGAGTATAGTTTATTGATATATTATTTCTTTCTCATTATTAATAAAAGGAGAATACCAAGACATATTAGGCAGAACATGGTTCTTTATATAACTTATAATATAATAATGGTGTTCATGCAAATTTACATACATCTTGACCCTTCAATGAAATCACTGTATTATTGTTCACCGATTCAAAATATCGAATAATTCTATTTACCAAAACTTAAACATATAAGAAGAAACTATTTTAAGAATGTATTGCAGATGAGCACAACACATGATTCGTGACCTTCTAAGATATTAACTCATATTTCCTGCCACTGGTATAAGATGTTCAATATTGAAATGTTAGCATTCTACTCCAACTAATTTATTGAATCTACATGTGTAACTTATTAGCCAAGCAGAGCTATAATTTAATAAGCTCTTGGTTACAAAAAATATCATGAATGATATGTTGGGTAACAAAAAGGGAAACAAGATGGTAACCAGAAAACTCAGGAGAAAAAGAGTGAGGTAAGATGTCCGCCACGTCCAGTAACCTGTCTCGTAATAGATGTTGTTGGAGGATCGTTGAATGAGCTGCACGGAGGAATGAACCAATGTACAAATTCCTGCAAATCAAGAAAGAAGTAGAGGAGAAAAGAAAGGTTTGTTTCTAGCCATTACAACTCAGAGTGTCTGCTCTTCTCTTCCTCAATCTCGAATACTTCATCAAAAGGAGGGTCCCCTGGTCTTCGAAATAGTTGGTCCGCTATGTTAATCTCATATGCTTCTTCTTGTTCCAGCAAAAACTTTTTCAACTGCGAAATTGACTTACAAAATCTCAAACCCTCTAGCATTCAGAATCTGAGTTAAACCAGCTCAAAACATGCAGTAAAAGCAGTTGCAGGGGTAAAATTTAAAGCAAACTGATTGTAAATTGGAATTTGCATGTGCCACATTAAGAAAAAAATGAGAGTCGAGTAAAAAATTTTATACCAAAAGAAGGAAGCCATGACTAGCAACTAGTTATACGGCACTAATTGATGATTGACCAACAATAATTAGCAAAGTTACATTAATGTTAATATCCAAACAATGAGAGAATGCTTCCTGTAATTCATTCTACTTTCCTGGATGAGCATAATAACAACACCAAAATATTGTCGGATTGAAATTCCCTTAGCATAAGAAACCACATTTAACATTTTGCATTTGAGAATACCTCCTTTGAATAAAAGGAATATGGTTTTGTTGGCAGCACACAATGAAATTGACAAATGCAGGATTAACCTCAAGTTGCTCGACATTATATCTAAAAATGGAGTAATGTAGTACCGCTGGAGGTATTTTTCTAAAGGACTAATTGATGTTTTCACCCTAACCCTCCCCTGCTTCACCACCTTCGGGTTCGTGGACTTACTTACTGAGTGTTCGAGGAGAAAGAGCTAATATTTACAGAGAGTTCAAGGTTGACATAAAGCAGGTGTAACAAAGGGAAAGTGTTATCGTTGTGTTTCTTTGAAGCTTCACTTTTCATTTCCCTTTTCCAAATTCTCGAAAATCTTCCCATAGAGTTCCTTCAAGTGATAATTAATCTACTCTTCATTTGTGGTGTGTGTTAAGATTGATTCTCTTCGATCATATTCTCAAGTAGTTAACATGGAAAAACAGACCAACTTTCTACCAAACTCCCTAATTGTTTCAACCTTTTGAACAAGCTCTTTGCTAAAAGCATCCATAAGCAATATCAGCAGTTACAGAATTAGAAGACATCTGATTTGGGAAAGTAAAACAAACCTCTGTTGTGTCTCGACCTTTTTCCATGGTGAACATTATCGTGGTCCAATCAACACCTATGAACTTTGTCTCCATTCCTTCAGATCTTGCTAGATTGACCCACCGCTTGGCAACATGAGTAACCATCTCCTGAAAAAATGAAAATCATTATAATCTAAACCAATAAGGTTCTATTACCTTGCATCCAACAACAATAGCCAAACAAGAAAATTAACATTGATACCTATAACTAAAAAGTTGAGTAATCTTTTTCAGTTAGTGAGACAAGTTTGTGTAGTTAGCAGCTCATTTGTAAAGCTCCCACACCTTCTAGATGCAAGTTTTGATCCTTAACAAATCCTTCCCTTTACCTCACAAACATCAATCAATCAATCACTATGGTTTAATCCCAAACTTGTTGCGCATATATGATTTCAGTATATCCATTCCACTCTATTATGACCTCTTTCGTCCCAATACGAAATTTAAAAAAAATTAATGTAATCTCAAGGCAGTCTAGAATTGATGATTCTCGAAATCTCACATTTATATCTACACTACCATACAAGTTTCTAACCATAGTAAAAAGCGACCGGGTATTGTTTAAACACCAGATAGTCTAAAGTCTCGATAGTTAGCTCTTGCTGCAATAAGATTTGACATTTTCGAATGACTCTATGAAATTACATTGACATAGATCTATCATATTCAATTTCAGCAAAGAAATTAACTTACCAGCTGATTAATTAACAAATCAGTAATTATATTATCAATGAAAACAAAGAATTCAAAGGTAAATAGAGATACCGACCGGAGTCCGACGAGTACCGAGTCGGAGCTTAACGAATCCAAAAACGGGTCCTAGAATCCGCCTCATCATTTCAGATTGGATATCTGATGGGCTCATTTTTTCGACATCATTTGGGGGCGGGGCGGATTCGGAGTTTGCGGGTTTCAATTCTTCACCCTCCTCATTGTCTACGACGTCGTTAAGATCGTCGGAAACGTGGATCCTCCGTTGTAGGCCTTCGGCGAAACGGTGAAATCTTAGGGTTCCGGTGGCAATCAAGAGCAAGAAGAAGCAGATTGTGTAAGAAAATCTACGCAATTGATTTAACATTGTAGCTAGTGATGTTTAATTTTTTTTTTAGATGATCATCTGCATGTGTATTTATAGGTTTGGAATGCACTGCTCTACGTAAATTTTTACTTTTATTTATTTATACCGAGAAAATCATACCCCCTCGACTCAAAAAAAAAATGAATTGTTGAATCTTTTTTCATAATTCTAAATTGTTCAAAATTCAAGAGAGATGTTACAAATTTTTTCCA